TTTTCCTGACCAAAAGTACATGTAGTTTTTAGGTACAGAGTCCTGGGATGAAAGATTTTGCATTCAGGGGAATCACTGTTGTGAATCAACTGTTTTTTTTTTTTTTCCTTTTTGTCTTTTTTACTGACCGGCAACGGGATCGCAACCCTCGGTGTTGCGCCCGCACCGCGCTCAACCAATGAGCGGGAACCGGTCTCCACATGGGATCCGAACCCTCAGCGGCCGCTCTCCCAGGCGGCGCACTCTCCAGTGCGCCACCGGGCCGGCCCAATGAATCAACTGTTAAGACAATAGATAAACAAATGCTCTTGATCCTCTGCGCCACTCCAGCTGGGGAACAAGAGCTATGTCCTCCATCATGTCAATAGTTCTATCCCACATTAACCCCTACTGCGCCCTAATAACAGTATAGAGGCTTTGAATAATATATTAGCTAATAATCTAATTGGTGTGTTTACAATACATAATTTTACATCGTAATAACTTCGTATAGCATACATTATACGAAGTTATACGAAATTCCTTTTTTCTGGAAACATGAGACTCTTCATCATAGATTCCCTAATCCATGTTCCATAAACAGCCTATGGGCCTGGCAGGTGTCCAGCCCCCAAATGTCATGGGGTCCTGAGCAAGTCCAGAAGGCACGTCAGGCAGGTTAAGACACATCCCTGTTGACATTATGTAATTCCCAAAAGCAGAGGGTCTTCAGCCGGAGTCACCAGGAATTATTGTGCTAACTTAGCTCAAATAGAGAGCTAAAGACAACAGTGAAGATTGGTTCACTATTGATCCCTGCTGCTGGAGTCTGCCAGGGTCTCCTGTGTGCAGAGGAAGGAGCAGAAATAGATTTTAAGAAGTTGACCTTTAACTAGGCTTTATGGCTCCTTCCATCCAGTAAAATAACACCACACAGCTCTGAAATGGCAAGGGCAAGTGATATCTGCTGCACCTGCTGGATGGGGGTTGGCTTGGATTTTGGTTTTGTAAATTACAAGAGGCATTTGGAAATTACCTGTGCTTTAACTCTTATTCCAAGATGAGAATTGGGATGGGGAAAAAAAGGTCCCTCTTGTGGGGTTTATTTTGAGGTTTTAGGCCAAGATGAGATTGTCCCTGGGGTTTGGAGTCTGATCTGAAATTGTTATTATATCATATAGTGTGATGTAAATAGTTTTAGTTTGACTGCATGTCAGGGCTTTTATTTCATGTGCACTTTTTCCAGTTCATGACAATTTTAAATCCTCTCCTGAGCCATACATTGAGATTGCTTCCCCTCTCTCTCACTTTGACAGAGGGACATCTGTCTGCATTTGATCTTTTGACAGCTTTGGCAGTGTATCTAGCCCCCACTTTTGGCAGTTGTCACGGGCAGGGTGTGTTCTTGCTGAACACACGGTTCTGTAATGCCATGTTGGCCAGAAATATTGACTTTTAAGCAACCTAAATTTAGAGCCTCCCACAAGGTCAGCACTGATGGATGGAACTCTTCACACTTGATAACATGCCAGCAAAACCATAGCCCTGGTGGAGGATGCAATATGCTGCCCAGAAATGTCCCCAAAAATAACAGTATAGAGGCTTTGAATAATATATTAGCTAATAATCTAATTGGTGTGTTTACAATACATAATTTTACATCGTAATAACTTCGTATAGCATACATTATACGAAGTTATACGAAATTCCTTTTTTCTGGAAACATGAGACTCTTCATCATAGATTCCCTAATCCATGTTCCATAAACAGCCTATGGGCCTGGCAGGTGTCCAGCCCCCAAATGTCATGGGGTCCTGAGCAAGTCCAGAAGGCACGTCAGGCAGGTTAAGACACATCCCTGTTGACATTATGTAATTCCCAAAAGCAGAGGGTCTTCAGCCGGAGTCACCAGGAATTATTGTGCTAACTTAGCTCAAATAGAGAGCTAAAGACAACAGTGAAGATTGGTTCACTATTGATCCCTGCTGCTGGAGTCTGCCAGGGTCTCCTGTGTGCAGAGGAAGGAGCAGAAATAGATTTTAAGAAGTTGACCTTTAACTAGGCTTTATGGCTCCTTCCATCCAGTAAAATAACACCACACAGCTCTGAAATGGCAAGGGCAAGTGATATCTGCTGCACCTGCTGGATGGGGGTTGGCTTGGATTTTGGTTTTGTAAATTACAAGAGGCATTTGGAAATTACCTGTGCTTTAACTCTTATTCCAAGATGAGAATTGGGATGGGGAAAAAAAGGTCCCTCTTGTGGGGTTTATTTTGAGGTTTTAGGCCAAGATGAGATTGTCCCTGGGGTTTGGAGTCTGATCTGAAATTGTTATTATATCATATAGTGTGATGTAAATAGTTTTAGTTTGACTGCATGTCAGGGCTTTTATTTCATGTGCACTTTTTCCAGTTCATGACAATTTTAAATCCTCTCCTGAGCCATACATTGAGATTGCTTCCCCTCTCTCTCACTTTGACAGAGGGACATCTGTCTGCATTTGATCTTTTGACAGCTTTGGCAGTGTATCTAGCCCCCACTTTTGGCAGTTGTCACGGGCAGGGTGTGTTCTTGCTGAACACACGGTTCTGTAATGCCATGTTGGCCAGAAATACTGACTTTTAAGCAACCTAAATTTAGAGCCTCCCACAAGGTCAGCACTGATGGATGGAACTCTTCACACTTGATAACATGCCAGCAAAACCATAGCCCTGGTGGAGGATGCAATATGCTGCCCAGAAATGTCCCCAAAGATAACAGTATAGAGGCTTTGAATAATATATTAGCTAATAATCTAATTGGTGTGTTTAGAATACATAATTTTACATCCCTAAGACCCCAAATGCTTATCTATTTAAAATACTTCATGGTTAGAAAAATATTACACCACCCCAAAATTCTCAAGTTCCATAAAGTAGCAGTTATACAGACATATTCTCTGACATAATTTTTTAGTGGAAATTAAGAATGAAATCTAAAGTGTAGTAATAAAGAGAACTTGGAGACTTAAGTGCACTCATTCTAGAAAGCAAAAATCTCAAGGTAAATGAAATAAATATTTAACTCAAAACACTAGAAAAAAAAAACCTGAAAAAGGTGAAGAAAAGAAATTGATTTTATAAAAGTATAGTTTAATGTTAATAGAAAATAAATTTGACAAATTAAGCTAAGAGCTGATTTTTTGTGTGTGTGGGAAAATAGTAAAACAGAAACCTAGAAGGCCTGGTCAAGAATATGAGGATGTGCATGGGCCAAGCACGTGGCGCACTCGAGAGAGTGCGGCGCTAGGAGCGCAGCAGCGCTCCCGCCGCGGGTTCGGATCCTATATAGGGTTGACCGGTGCGTGTGGCCGGTCTCAAAAAGGACAAAAAAAAAAAAGAATATGAGGATGTGCAAATAAGAGTATAACTAGAAAAGGGAATATTTTCTATACATTTTAAAAGTCAAGAAAAACTAACAACTTAATTGTTATAAAAAGAGATGAAATTGACTATTTGTCAAGAAAGAAATATCTGAGAGGTAGAAAATATGAATAGACCAATAGTCATAAGAAATTGAAAAGTGTAAGATCTAGGTCCCCTCAGAACATTAAGCCCAAGTGACTTTAATGACTGAATCTGCTGCCCCTTCAAGGAATAGTTACATCCTTTGTTACATTGCTTCAGAGCCTAGAGAAGTAAAGAAATCTTCCCACTATGTTCTTTGAAACCAACATACTGACACTAAGATCAGGTAAGGATGGTACCAAAACCAGACAGGTAAGATTGTACACTAGACCAGTTAGAAAGATACAGAAAGCATAAGTAAAATTTAACACTCCAAATCTAATAGTGATTTAAAGAAATTTTGTGACCCATGTCCAGTAAATTTTATTCTAGGAAAAGAGTTCCATGCTGGGATTAAATAGAGTGGTCATTATAATATAAGAAGATGATAGCAACAGATAACATTTATTAATTACTGTGTGCCTGATTCTGTTCTGAGTGCTTCACGTATTCTTTTATTCCTCACATCAACTCTGAGGAAAAGGCATTTGATAATATTTAGCACCCATTCTTTTTAGAAAATACTGTTTCTGTTCTATATTCTGTTTTGAACTATTTCTACTGCAAGCCAGCAAAGAGGAAATTTCTTGACTTAAAATAAAGACCTCTACAAAACAAAAAACAAACAAGAACCATGCCCATGATCCCTCATTGCAAGAGTGTGCCTGAATTAGAAGCTGAAGATATTCAGTCACAAGCTTCAGGCAGTGCCATATGGTTCCGGCTCCCCTCCAGCCTTCTGCAAATAACAGACAGCCCTGCTTGTAGGTGCTGCTCTCTTGGACAGTAGTGGTTAAAGGACAAGGCTCATAAAGTGCTGAATTAAGTGCCTGTTATCAGCATGTCATATTGATTATACCATCTAAGGGCTCTTTTGATATCTTATCTTGGCTTTGAGTCCCTTTTTAATCAAACAGTAATAGCAAATGGAAAAAGAGAAAGTGCTAAAGAGACAAGATTAAAACCAGTAATTATTGCAAGTGAGGAATAATGAAGGGCAGGTTTGTTCAGAGAAAAGGACATAAGCACCTTTCCCTATTCCTCTTGACTCTAAAAAGTGAGTGTGAAAACCAGGTCTGCATGACCTTAGCAAAGAGTCATTTAAGTCAATAACTGAGTTTGTTAGCTTAAGTCAATAACTTTGAGTTTGAATTGTGTTGGAATCAATAGAGAAAAAGCTCAGAATTACCACACCTATCACAGTCTGATGCTGACTGCCAGACCAGTCTTATCCAAACACAAGTCCCCTAGGTCTTTTGCCCCAGTTGTCTGCTTTATTTGCTGAGGGTATTTGAGTCCCAGGGAAAAGAAGAGCAGAAAGGACATAGCTTCTTTTGTGATGAGACGTATTTACACCCATGCTTTTAATGGTTTTTGGTGTCAGTATTCTGAAAAGTTCCTAAGATTTGCCCTGAGGGTGAATGAGTGCTATGGTAGAATTGGGTTGAAGTTAAGGAGGCTGAAATAAGCAGGTAGATGGAGGTGGAGGTCAGTGTATTTACACCCATGCTTTTAATGGTTTTTGGTGTCAGTATTCTGAAAAGTTCCTAAGATTTGCCCTGAGGGTGAATGAGTGCTGTGGTAGAATTGGGTTGAAGTTAAGGAGGCTGAAATAAGCAGGTAGATGGAGGTGGAGGTCAGAACATCCACAGGCCTCTCCTAAGCCATAGCTTTGGCTCTGGGGTAGGGGAATGGGAGCTGGGTCCTAGCGTGGGAGGACACTTGTCATCTTCTTTTCTTTCCCCCAGTACCACTCAGAGACCATCAAGAATGTGCGCACAGCCACGGAAAGCTTTGCTTCAGACCCCATTCTCTACCGGCCAGTTGCTGTGGCTCTGGACACTAAAGGACCTGAGATCCGAACTGGGCTCATCAAGGGCGTGAGTATTCTGGGGAAGAGTGAAGGGAGGCAGTAAGCCCCAGAGACTTGTCCTCTGTGGTCTCTGCCCCGCACGATGTCATGTTTCAGAGTTTAAGTCTACAAATGAGGGTTTATTCATCACTGTTTAAAAAAAATGTTAATTTGATATACTTTGCTAGGAGATGGTACCACAAAGGAACCTTTTTTTACCCTAAAAACCTACTTCCAAGTCTCTCTAACTTTGGGGAGGAGTTTCTTTGTATCTTTTCTCCGATCATTAAGTAGCTTAACTGAAACATCATAATTTTTTTCTTGGACTATTTCCTTGAAATATACTAAGTTAGAGAGTAAGAGCTTTACTCACATAGGAAAAAGCTTCGTTATTACTTTTTGCCGAGATTTGAGCATTATTCCTCAGAGGAAAGAGCTGTCCACTCCTGCCGTGGTAGTGGGGCACTGGCTTCTGCAGTTTGGACTCTTGCTAACTCCTGTGTCCACAGAGCGGCACTGCGGAGGTGGAGCTCAAGAAGGGAGCCACTCTCAAGATCACTCTGGATAACGCCTACATGGACAAGTGTGATGAGAACATCCTGTGGCTGGACTACAAGAACATCTGCAAGGTGGTGGAAGTTGGCAGCAAGATCTACGTGGATGATGGGCTTATTTCTCTGCAGGTGAAGGAGAAAGGTATGTGTGGGAGTCAGGGTCCAATTGTCTAAAACCATTTACATCCCAAACATTCCTTGACACAAGGAAGATAGGAAGGTTGGTTGGCTAGCAGCAAGACTGAGCCTATATGTTCTCAAGGATTCCTTTTATAACTCATTTATCCTCAAAAACAGACTTCAGCCTAATTATACTTTTCTGGCTCTGGAGAACATATAAGAAGATTTCCTTTTTATCCATCCTCACTATTTTTGGCTCTCTGCTTCCTTCCTTACTTCATATGATATGTTCAGGGCTCTGGTGTGCCTGGTAGTGATAATTAATATTTAAGCTTCTTGGTTCTTGACTTCTTGTTGAGCAGGTGTGCCCTCATTGCTCTCCCTCCCCTTCCTACTCTGTTTTGCACAGGTGCTGACTTCCTGGTGACGGAGGTGGAAAATGGTGGCTCCTTGGGCAGCAAGAAGGGTGTGAACCTTCCTGGGGCTGCTGTGGACCTGCCTGCCGTGTCAGAAAAGGACATCCAGGATCTGAAGTTTGGGGTTGAGCAGGATGTGGACATGGTGTTTGCGTCTTTCATCCGCAAGGCGGCTGATGTCCATGAAGTTAGGAAGGTTCTGGGAGAGAAGGGAAAGAACATCAAGATAATCAGCAAAATTGAGAATCATGAGGGTGTTCGGAGGTAAGTCCCCTATCGTTCCCACCCCAGGCCCAGCCCGGCACTCTGAAGGGAAAGATCGATTCTGCAAATATCTGATTCTCAAACCTGGTCACCTGCACATTAGAATGCAAACCCCCAAGCTTGGTCCAGACCCACTGAATCAGAGTAACTTAGCGGGGAGAGAAGTGCATTGATATTTAAATACCAAAGCCCCCAAAAAAAGCTTCCCAGGTGATTGAGATGCCAGCAGCTTGACTTTGTTCCATGGACCTGGGGACCAACATCAAAGAGGACACAGTCACTGTTCACAGGATCAGAAGTCATCATGCTCTGCTCCTGATCAGGAACACTACCAGTGTGTGCTAGAATGGGGGGACCAGGGGAAAGGAAGACAGCAGGCTCTTAGGAAGGAGCTCTTTTGGGCCCTCACTTGGGAGCCATGTGAAAGTTCATGCTGAAGCTTATGGCCTCCTGGTCTTTGCTTAGAAAGCAACTGGCTTAACAAGCAGGCTAACTCTAGTATGGTCCATTGACTTCTCAGAGGAAAGCATGTGGTTCTTCTCCAGGTTCACATTGTCCCAGCTCAGCTTAATCATCTGTATCCCTGGTGCTCATGAGGTAGAGCCAAATGAGTAGGGCCAGCTCAATGACGTTTGTTCCTCTTTGGCCCCTACTAGAAACATGACTCAGCATTGCTAAAACCCCAGACCTACTCATGTGGGTTAGGGGTGTGCTTGGAGAGGGTAAGAGGAGCAGCCCTATATACCCACTGTGTGGCCTTACTGTCCTTAGCTTTGTGTGAATGTCTTTTGCCACCAGGTGGTTGCCATTGTGATAAATCATGGGTGCTAGCTGACCTTGGTCCCAGGCCAGGGAAAGCCATACTCCCTCTTCAACAAGTTGGAAGGGCCCACCTCGAGGTGTAGTAAGGCCATGGATCTTTGTGTTGGAAGCAGTCAGCAGTCCTTGGCTTCCCTTCCTTCCTTGGAAGTGTGGATTGGAGAGTGGAGATGATAGAGACGCTTTAAGAGGGGCCTCAAAAGATGTAGATGGACAGGAAATGAGCCCATGGGACTTGCCCCCTCCCCTTTCTTCCCATCAGTGAAGTATCCATACTGGAGTTGAAGAAGCCCAGCAAGCTGAATTGTTGCCCCACTCTGCAGGGCTAAGATAGCTGGAATGTCCCATCACCTCCATGCACCACGATGACATCACAGATGGCTGTCCCTGACAAAAGGACATATAAGTCAGGGAATTCTAGGAAAACTTCCCATCCATCACCATGCTTGTGGCCCCTGTTCAATATAACATACATCTCTGTTCCTCCCCTCTGCCCCTTCCCCCCCCCC